TGGGAGGGAACGGGTGAGGGTAGGGGCAGGTGCGCTGGGTGTAGAGCGTGGGTGGTTGCCCTCCACCAAAAGAGGTGAATTGCTCAAGTTAGTTAGTCCCTTTCCTGGGGTTACCCGCGTCCAGTGACAGGTTGGGGTGAGGGCTCGGAACACTGGCTCTCTTCTCTCGGTTTGGGAGTTCTCCAAGAGGCTGTTCCGGTGCGGGATTGACTAAGGCCTTCGTTCCACCTGCGTGCTGCCCTGTTAGTTCATTTCTGCTTCTGCTTAATCCCGTTTCTTTCACTCTTGTGTTTGGAAGCACTTCTCAGTAAACCTCGTACAAATAAATCCCTGCCTCTGAACCCATCTCCTAGGGGTCCTGACGCAAGGCTCTGGGCGTTGTACAACCCAGCACGATGCAGGAGCCCTGCTGCCTTTGCGTGGCCGCAGGCGTGCGTGTGTGGGTCCAGAGTCCTTTCTCACTGATAGGCGTCTGTGCGGCTCTGTGAATGATGCATTCTGTCTCCCCACTGCTTACTGAGACCGCATCTGGAGTAAGTGATCACCCCAAGCGGACCACATTCAGGTCATTGAAGGACCAGCCCCCACATCTCACCCAGGGCTTCTGAAAATGAAGGCTTCTGCCATGGTGAGCCGTTCTGGGATCTCTTGGGTTGCGGTAAGGTGGCCCGATCTACTACAGGGGCTCCTGTACACTGTTGCACTGTGGCACACTGCTCCAGGGCACTCTCGTTGTTGCAGGCTGTCTGCAGCAACCTTTGTTAACTGCGGTGGGGGGAGACCAGGCCATCTCCAGTAAGTCCGAAAACAGAAGATAGAAGTATGAGAAACAAAACCATTACAGAACAAGATAAAGGAGAATAACAAGGTAGAGAAGTGTTTATTAGGCACAAAAAACACACCTGGAGAAGGAAAAATCAGTAAATCTGACTGTCAAAACTGAAAACTTAAATATTATGATAAGACAAAACTGTGGGCTGGAAAGAGATCGCTCTATATTCTGATCTTCAGGATTTGATCTAGCACCTACACCAGCTTGTGCAAATCCGCAAGAAAAACAGCACCAAGGAAAAGGATTTGCATAAATAATAAACACGAGCGGGAAGCAAGCTAGTTGTCGTGAATGTGGAACATACCTGAATTTGTAATCAGAAATACAGAGCTACAGGGAGATGACGTTTCATCAATCAGGTTGTCAAAAATCAAACTGTCTGAGAGACGCAAGTGTTGGTAAGGGTTTGGGGACACGGTGTACTTGAATGCTGGCACGAGTGAAGTTGTGTCAGCACTGGGGAACAAGTTGGTAGTATCTAGTCGGGTTGGAGAAAGTCTGGGACGTGTGTACAAGGAGACCTGAAGGTAAGGCACAGCGCTGTGGGTGATTTTTAAAAGGCCCATCAGCAGGGATTGATCAGTTAGGGTTGATACACTGGAACGTTATCCAGCAACTAACTGTGCACTATAGACACATGGTGAAATCTCAGAGATGGTCTTGAGTAGGAAAAGCAATTTGCAGAAACATCGAGTGTGGCGCTGCTCCCGTGAGTTAGCACAGACACTGTCCGTTCACAGCTGTGCGGCAGAGGGAGAGCTTTTTTAAAGCAGAGACTTGAAGAAATACGTTAAAAGTCGTAACATTCTCAGTGGTACTTCACTTTGGGAAGGAAGAAGGGGCTGGGAAGCAGAAGCCTTTGCCTTTCCCCCTAACCGTCTGTTTCCAGGCACGTTTGGCTCATCTTCTGTCCTCCCCACAGTAAACTAAACCGATGACACAGCCACATCCACAGGCTTAGTATAGTTTTGCATCTTGATCTCTGTGTCGTTGGACACCGTTGGTCATACCTCTGGTAGGGTCTTCTTCCTCGCCCGTGCGTGCCACGGCTCTGTCGCCGTCCCTCCTCAGCCTGCTGCTGCCTGCCTGCCTCTTTATCGCTGTCCTCCTCCCTCCTCACTCCTGTCCCCAAACGTCAGGGACAGAGTCTGCAACACAGAAGCCTGTCTCCCTTTCCGGTGGTGGCCCCCAGTTCTGTTCCCAGAGGTGACCACTGACAGTAGCTTAATCTTCAGAAATCCGACTGCCCCCGACACACCACGTGCACACGGTGATGTGTGTCTGCTCATGTAACACAAGCATACACATGGTGTATGTTCTGCACTTTTTAAAAATCACATGGCCTTTTGATATTTTGTTAGTTCAGTGTGATTTATATCTATCAACATGATCATATAGATCAGCTTTCTTTTTAACAGTTGCTTATTGTTAAGGATTAAGATTTGTATCTTGAAATGAGAGGTAACACCAAGAACAGGTGACCCTGAGCTCATTTCAGTTCTTGTTAATGAATACTTGTTAGTTTCCTACCATTTACAAAGGTGGTGCTCTCTTGGGAGGTGTTGGGATAAATGTAGAGCACCATAGGTGAATTATCCTGTTCATCTGGCCAGGCAGACACATGACTCATGTTGATTGTGGAGGATAGAGGTCGGCATAGGGCTCCTGCTGAGATCGGCGGTCTCCAGGGTGGAGACGAGGTGGGGGTAGGGGGGAGGCAGAAGGAAGAAACAGGGGCTGGGGGGACGTCGGGGCATCTGTGTGAACGGTAGTGGGAAACTTCCCGACACAGGCCATTTATTTCCCTCATGGTCTGCTTTCAGTGAAGAGTGGCTGAGATTATTGGAATGTTTATTCCTGAGCGAGGAATTATTTTTATTACCTTCCTCAACATCAGAAGTGTTTGTTATTTGGAAGCACGCCTGTCTGATTCCTACTTCTTAGACTTTTTAAAAAATGATTTTTAATGTTTTATTTATTTTGAGAGAGGGAGAGAGAATGAGAGCGCATGCGTGCTTGCAGCAGGGAGGGGCAGAGAGAGAGAGAGAGAGAGAGAGAGCGCGCAAGAGGAAGAGAGAGAGAATCCCAAACAGGCTCCGCACCATCAGCACAGAGTCCTGCTTGGGGCTTGAACCCACGAACCATGAGATCTTGACCTGAGCTGAAACGAAGAGCCAGGTGCTCAACCAACTGAGCCACCCAGGTGCCCTGATTTGATTCTCATTTCAGAAATAAATAGAATGAGACAGTTATGTCCTTTGGAGGAGAACCATCTCCAGATTTGTAGGTTAAAAATCGGGAGTAATACTAAGTTTTGAGGTAAAAAACAGATACTTAAGTGATTTCATAGAGACATACAATTGATATAATTTCAGTTAATATAAAACGTGTGTGATTTTAACAAGCAGATACAGTTTCAGTTGGAAGTGAAATTTGCTTATGGAATTGGCCCCATCTGTTTGGAGCGCCATCAGCAGACTTGCTTTTCTGTGCTGAGGCTTTTTGTCTCTTTAGAATACATTTTATTCAGGGGGGCGGGGAATACATTCTTCTGTTTCTGCTGAAGAAGTCTGTGCTGTTAAAGCTGGGCTTTCGTGAATGACCCGATTGCCTGATTTCAGGTGTTTACTGACTCAGAGCAGTCGGTCCCCTGTGGAGCCTTTTTCTTTTTAAAAGCTTGCACAGAAACCATTTTTAAAGGATTCTTTCATGGTCTTGAAATTTCTTGGTCACGTCCTAGGGGAACAATTACTGAATTTCTGCACCCAGGTCTCTGCCGGTTCTGAGGGATTAATTGGCCTGGGACTAAGTTGGGCGCGGTCTGGCCTTCGGAAAAACATTCCGATAACATCACCAAAAAATTATAATACCTGTTCTGTAACCACAAGTCTTGGTTTCAGTGACGTCTTTAGATTTTCCAGTACAACACGTGTGTCCGTTTGTGTGTCTGTGTGCTGGGGAGGGTGATCTACCCGTTTCGGGAGTGGCCTGCGGGAGGTGGTCTTGGTTAAGGCAATGAGTGAGCACAGGCGGGGCCGCGGGTGGGCCCACAGCAGAGCTTGGGTACGGTCAAACGTGGGTGATTGTGAGGTCGATCAATTCACGTGGGGCTTGAGAAGACACATGTCTGGTGTGACTTCGGTACATTTGGCTTCTTTGTTAGGGGTTTAAAATGACACCCTCGAATTTCCAGTCATCTTCCATTCAGGCTCTTCGTGCCCAGCACTGTGCTTGCCAGACAGCACAGGTCCACGGGTTTCTGGAGCAGCTGACCCGGTCCAGTAAGAATAGGTATTCTCCCTGCTCCCTCCCCTTGCCTCCCTGTGTACTCAGAGCATACGGCGACTGAAGGAAAGTCCAGTCGTTAGACTTGTTTTTTTAAAACTTGAATCTGTTGTTTTTCTAACTTTATGAGCAGGAAGCCCTGCCCCTTATTAACTGTGTGACCTTGTCTCACTTTTCTCTATAAAATAGGGGAAACCCCTTCATCTGGTGATTACGAACATTGCACGAGATAGGTTTGTAAACTTGCTTGGCACGTAAGTGCTGGGTGAGATGGTTGTTTTCATTTAGATGTGGTTCTTCTAGGCTCACGGAGGGCATGGGCCCGGCAGAGACGAAATAACAGGAATGTGCCGTTGGGGGCAGCTTCACAGACAAAATGGGTTTGGATGGAACCTGCAGGGTTGGATCAAATTCAACAGGTTGAAAAGGGTGATGGTCTTAAGTTGTTTCTCTGAATATTCTTAAATATTCACAAATTTCCAAATCAATTGGCTTGAAAGTGGTTCTTCAGTGTTTGACTTCAGATGTAATTAATATAAGTTGAAAGACATTTGGGATCTATTGAAAACAATCTAAATTAGGGAAGTATACTATGACTTTCTACGCTGATGGAAAGAAATCTTCTGTGTCTGTACTGTCATCCAGTATGGTAGTCACTAGCCATATTGAGCACTTGAACTGAATTTTAAATTTTATTTACTGTCATTTAAACTTGAAATAAAACGGCCATGTGCGGCTGCCATGTTGGAGGAGCACAAAAGTGAGCTTAAAATGAAATGAAGAATTCGTTTCCAAAGAAATAGAATACAAATAAAAATTTCTAATCAGTTAATTCTTTTGTGATTTGTAAATTCATCATGTGACGCTCTTTGCTTTATTGTAGGGTCTCCAACTGAGAAACACGGCACTGTTTCCCTGCACTCTACCCACCTATCGCTGGACTTCTGTCGTAACAAGTTGGCAGACACTGGCTGGAAGTGGGCTGCGATAGAACATGCCAGTATCAGTGCTGACACAAGAGCCTAACAAGTGCCAACTTACAGATGATTACGCATTTTGAATTCTAATGAACTGTTTTAACCTTCAGGAAGAATTGTAAAGACCTGTACATAGCACAACATGATCCGGATAATATATATACTATTCATGTACATCCACAGATACACCTTGTACCAAATAATGCTTTCTTGTAGTAGAATAAGAATCGTGTAAATTCTAAAAGATTTTAGCAGGTTTTCTTTCCCTATTCATTGTTTCTTATCAGTTTTAAAAGACTCCTTAAAGCATGTCAGATGAAAAACAATTAGGATTACAAGTTTCCATTTAATTTCCTTTAAACCATTGAGGCTTCATTAAACTCTTTTCACTTACTAAACTTTTGTATCTTCTTTGTTTTGACACACTCCCCTTTGCTTTTATCTCTTCTATCTGCCAGAAAGTTTTCAAATCATTTAGTTCCAATACTGAAATACTTAATAAGCAACTACTTGATTTTTAATGATGACTTCAGAGGAGTGGTCATCACCAGGTGCTTTGTCCTTTTGTACCCTAGTTGTACCGTCTCTTGGGTTGGTTGTAGCAATAACATGTTTTGGCTATTGAGAGCTCTTGAACTCAGTCATTATCCCTGAGAACTAAAAAGAGTCAGTTCAGAATCCAACTTAACTGAAATTTGCCCCACATGGTGCAGAAGTCTGGTTTGGTTTTGCTTTTGCCCCCCAGTTCCCTGCCGTTAAGGTCGGGTGGATTACGGTGTGCACTGCGCAGGCTTTCTGCGTCACTTGCGGGTTCGCGAGGACAGACGCTGTTGACCCCGTGTCCCCTTCTCCTGAGCCCTTCGTGTTTCTTTGCCTCTACTCTTCTATACTGCAGGTTTTTTCTCACTTATTGTACAAAGAAATTGCGATGTATATTTTCATGTAATTTGATTTTGGAATTCTGTCACCTTATGTAGTGAGTTCTTCCAAAATACAATTTTTTTCCAATAATTGTCAAGTTGTTGGCTTTTATTGTATTGAATGAAGGTTATAATACTGAATGCCAGAGAAATGCAGTTTAGAAAAATCTCAGGTTGATTCCTTATGCAAACAGACTTATACTTGAAAATCCCATGGCCGTGGCAGTGGATGTATTGGGCTCTATCTAGGTTCTTATGTGGATCTCAAAGCACTACAGGGGTGTGAATGCTTTGCTGTTTGACATATAGCTTCTGTCACTGACATAGTGCACTTGGATTTTATTAATGTTTGAGCATAAGCATATTTCATATCATGTTTTCTAAAACAGCTTCAGGAAATGATGAAGTGAACGTGTGCAGTGTTAACGGCAGGCCCAGGTTCCTCTATGTTGGGTGTGAGGTTGGGATTGGGAAGTAGTAGTTGGCCTGTAAGAGACAGAACTCGAGACGGTACCAGATGGGACACAATTCTGTGAGAATTGGTGCGTCTCTGCTCTGTGGGGCTTGGAGAGACGCTTTGGCAGAGAGTGAAGGGATCCCTATGAGTAGCCCCATCCTCTGTGGACTCTGCAGGTCCTTTTTGAAGCAGAAGTAAAATGGTTGAGGATGTAGACACAGTAGAGAGTGATTTTTCTAAACACCTGTCTGTTCCCCACTCTGAAGCATTATAAAATCCTATACATGTGTAATTGCTGAGTGTGAAAATTGTTTGATATGATTTACTGCAGCCAGTTTTCTTCGAGAACTTCATTTGGGACTCCCCCCCCCCCCCCCAAATTCTAAAACTTGTTGCCCCAAAGTGCTGGTAGTGCACACGCGCCTGGGATTTGAATGCAGTCCCTCTTACTCTTACATCAGAAACTGTCCACATGGTGGCTGCTTGTGGCAGAATGGAGTCTGAACTTTGCTCTCCCGTTGCTGTGATTCTGCTAGTGATCTGTCAAGTTAAAACCTGGGACTTGACTCTTCAGGGAGCGGCAAATGACCTAGTAACTCAGGGACAACTCTTACTGAACTTTAAGTGCCACTTAAATGCAGGTACCTTGGAGTAACCATGTGTGTTTTGGGGCTAGATCCTGGGGAGTCAAAGGGGGAGCCAGGAACGAGGGCCCCTCCCTTCCCGCTCTTTTCCACCTGGCGCCCTGGCGTGCTGCATGTGGACACACAGGCCTGGGGGGGGGG